ACTTTTCTTTTTGGTCTGTTTGTGCTTTTGCTGTGATGTTGGAGATAATTTCTTCTACCAGAACTTGATGTCACAAATTTGAATCTCACATGAATATCTTTGCCTTTGATAAGTATGACAATATATTTCAAGTTCTTCTTTAAACTTTTTACTTAACTCTCCTTAAGCATTTTCATTTTTAGTTCAAGTTGTAATTTCATTGGCTAGCCCTTCCATCCACTAATAATCTTGAATTAAAAAAAAAAAAACTGGCAAAGTATCTGCAGGGTTTTTTGATCTCTGTTTATTTTAGGTGTATGAGTGCTGCATGTATGTACGTGCTCCACATGTGCATGGTGCCCACAGAGCCCAGAAGAGAGCATCAGATCCCCTGGAACTAGAGTTAAGGATGATCATCATATACCACTTGGGTGCTGGGAACCCAGGTCCTCTGAAAGAACAGCAGAGCCATCTCTCCAGCCCCCAGAGTTTCTCCATACAAATGCAAACTAGTATAAAAAAGAATCGGTCAATTTGATTTTCTGTGACACAATGGAAGTCATAACCCTGTACACACTGTCATGTCTTTTTTATCGTTTGCCTTTAATAGCCAACTTCAGAGATACATAGGAAGGATTTTCCCCTTCCCTACAGTTACATGCTTTTCCAAATACCAACAATACTATAGAAAATAATCTTTTGTTCGTGGGCAGGTAAGTGCAGGAAAAATTCCAGAAGGACATCTGGTCAAAGGAGAGAGATGTGTATGGCCAAACTTTCATCCCTGAAGCAGTCTGCCCTCCCACCACCTCACATGAGCATGTCTGTTTTTGTTTTCTGCCAGCCTGATAGTGCTATTGTCCTAATGTGATGGGGATTTGCATCTCCCTTTCCATATATCTAAGAAGAGCTATAGTTTGTTTTGTTTTTTTTCTGTGATTAGGCTACTCACGTCTTTTGACCATTTTTCTGCTGCATTGTTGCTCTTGATTTCTAGGAGGTTTTCTAGATTAGAAACAATACCCTCTGCTGTTACATAAGGTGTAATCATCCCCTGCAAGTTTTCTTTTTCTTTACATTTATTTATTTATTTATTTATTTATTTATTTATTTTTGTGTGTGTGCGTATTGTGGTGCACATGTGGAGGGCAGAGAAAAACTTGTGGGAGTCAGTTATTTCCTTCTACTCCTGGGTTCCAGGGATCTAACTCAGGTCATCAGCCTTGGCAGCAAGTGCCTTTACGGAACTCACTATGTAGACCAGGCTGGCCTCGAACTCACAAAGATCCGCCTGCCTCTGCACTCCCTCTGCTGGGATTAAAGGCTTGCGCTACCTTGCCCAGCATCTGTGTTTTTACACAGTGCTTAGCTATGTTGCCCAAGCTGGTCTCAAACTCCTGGGCTCAAGCAACCCTCTTGCTTCAGCTTCCCGAGTAGCCGAGACTACGTATACATCAGCACACCCAACCAAGATTCTGCCTTTGCTAACAGTATTATTTTACCACACAGTTTTTTTCTTATTTAAAATTTTTTTTTTTGGGTCTTTTTGAGACAGGGTCTGCCTGTAGCCCCAGCTGTCCTGAACTTCACAAATTTGGGTGTCATCCCTGCCCATGCTGCCAAGGTGAGCACTTTATTTTTATTTTATATGTGTGAGTGTTTTGCCTGCATGTATGTAAGTGCCCCTGTGTATGCAATACCCACAGAGGTCAGAAGAGGGAGTCAGATCCCCTGAAACTGGAGTTACGGATGCTTGTTAGCCACTGTGTGGGTACTGGGAACCAAACCCCGGTCCTCTGCAAGAGCAGGTAGTGATCTTAACCACTAAGTCATCTCTCCAGCTCCTTATTTGGATTTTTAAAAACATTTATTGTTTATTTTGTGTGTATGATGGGAGCAGGGTGTTGAGGTCAGAGGACAACTTTGTGGAGTCAGTTCTCTTCTACATTTACCTGGGTTCTCGGGATCAAACTCAGATAATCAGGCCAGGATGGCAAGCACCTTTGCCCAGTGAGCTTTTCATTGACATCACAGTTGTATGTATGTGTGTCACAGTGTGGCATTTCAACACCTGCATAAAATATCTAATGATCACCAAGCATGGTGGCACACACCTTTAATCCCAGCACCCAGGAGGCAGAGGCAGGCGGATCTCTGTGAGTTCAAGGCCAGCCTGGTCTACATAGTGAGTTCCAGGACAGCTGGGGCTACAGGGAGACCCTGTCTCAAAAAGACCAAAAAAAAAAAAAAATCTAATGATCAACATCACTATCAATTGATCATTTCAGACATTTATTATTTCTTTGTGTTGGGACCATTCAAAATGTACTCTATGAGCTATTTTATCGTATTTATTTATTTATTTAGAGACAGGGTTTTACTATATAGCCCTGGCTGACCTTTAGCTCTTAGGGATTCACCAGTCTCTAACCCCCATCCAAGTGCACCACCATATCTGACCACTAGCTAATTTTTTAAGATTTTATTTACTCTGTGTGTGTGTGTGTGTGTGTGTGTGTGTGTGTGTGTGAGAGAGAGAGAGAGAGAGAGAGAGAGAGAGATTTTACAGGTCGGAGCTGCGAGGATTATAGGCAAATGTGAGCCACCAGATATAGGTACTAGGAACAAAACTTGGGGCTTCTGAAAAAACAGCAAGCACTCTTAACCATGGAGTTGTTTCTCCAGCATCTCTACTAACTAATTTTAAATATATAGTTAATTATATATAATTGCTTTCAGACATAGGTATCCTTCAGTTCTATAAATACAGGAAGTTATTCCTCCATCTAACTGACCACCTAGACCCACTAACCATTATTTCTTCATCATCCCTCCCCCACACCTTTCCCACGCTCTGGTAATCACCATTCTATATTGTTTCTTAAAGGTCAACACTTCAATGCCCATATATAAGAACAGGCAGTATTTGTTATCCTGTGCCTGATTTATTTCACTTAGCATAATGTCCTCCAGTTCCATTCACGTGGTCACAGATGATAGAATTTCACTCTCATGGCTGCATGGTATTCCACTGTGTGTATACACAATGCCTTCTTTATTCTTCCATTGGTGGACACCTAGGTTGATTCCACGTGTCGGCGCTTGCGATCATGGGACTGTCAATGTCTCTTCAATGTGCACTGACTTCAACTCCTTTGGATACATGTCCATGCTGGGGTTGGGGATACTATTTCTAGCTTTTTGAGGAACCCTCACACTGGTTTGCATGCTGTCTGTGCTACTTTACATTCCCTCCCATGCTATAGGGGAATTTCCCTTTTCCCATATCGCCCAAACACTTGGCACATTTATTTCTCTCTAGATTCTTTCTTTTAAATGTATGTATGTGTGCTTGCATGAGTTTATGTGCACCACATGCATGCATGTGCCTGCAGAAACCAAAAGAAGGCATTAGATCCCTAGGAACTGGAGTTACAGGTAGTTGTGAGCAGCCCAGTGTTGATATTAGGAACCAAACCTGGATCCCCTGTGAGAGCTCTACATGTTCTTAACCACTGAGCCATCTCTCCAG